GTTACTTAACCCCAACTGCCTCACCAAAAAGAAAAAAAAAACACAAAAAAAGCCTTATCAACACCTGACCGCTTCCTACCTTTTCAGTCTTCTTCCCTCCATCCACACAATCTACAGTCTAAGTGAGTTAGCTGACTTTCTGCTCTTCACACACAGTACTCCACCATTCATCTCTGTACCTTTTGCACTGGTTGTCCAGAATGCTTAAAATGCACTTCTCATCACTCCCTCTCAGAATTCTTGGATTCCTTCAAAATTGCTCAAGAACCAACTTCTGCAAGAGGCCTTTCCTTTGTACTCCCAGCTGCCAGTGCATTTCCCACTCCCACACCCTACTGCCATCACGATTACCTTGCATGTGCCCCACCTGCAATGTTGTATCACTAAGTATGATGAATCACAATTTAAGAAGGATGCTGACAAGCTGGAAAGTGTCCAAAGAAGGGCAGCTAGGATAGTGAAGGGCCTTGATACTGTGCTATATAAAAGACCAATGGAAGGAGCTGGGGATGTTTATTCTCATTGGTAATTGGGAATAAACGAGATAAATGAGTCTTTGTGTGCTAGAAGGGCTATCACATGGAAGAGGAATGAGACTTCTGTTTGGCCTCGGGGAAAGAGCCAGGAGCAACAGGCAGAAGTGGCAAAAGGGCCAATTTAGGCCTGGTATCAAGAAAAGCTTCCTCACTACTAGAGCAGTCCAAAAGCAGAATGGGCTGCTTCTTGACGCAGAGAATGAATGACCACTTGTCAGATGTGTAATAGCAGAAATTTCTTTCTTAAAACAACATCTAGTTGTACTAGATGGCCACTGGGCTCTTACCAACTCCAAAACTCTGTGATTGTGCTTTGTATATATTTATATATGTGTTGCCCTGGAATTAGAATGTAAGCTCCTTGAGGGAAGGACTGTTTTGCTTTTGTCTTTGTATTCTCAGGGCCCAGCTATGTCTTGCAGACAATAAGTCTTTAATAACTGCTTGAATAAAGAGAAGGATCAAAGAGGGTACAGGACAACTGTTCACAGTAGGTGGAGTGATAACAGACAAGTACCACACAAGGAAACTGGCCTTTGGCCTAGAAAAGAGAGCGAAAATGGAGAGATGGTAAGAAAGCACCTAACTGCCCTTAATGAATATAATTTACCAGTACCAGATAGTCCTGAAGGAACCAGCAGATACAATTATTTAAGCACTGTCACGATCTTTGGAAAACCAAAGGGTATGGGAGAAGTGCCACAGAGAAGGGAGAAGTGCCACAGAGAAGGCAAAAACATACTGATTTTCAGAAAAGGTTAACCAATGTCATCTAAACAGTCTAAGGTAGTGAGGTTGATTTCAAGCAAAATGCATGTTCAGTAATCATTCCTTTAATGCTAAGTCCATATAGAAAAGAGAATAATAACAAAGAGCATGGCTTCATCAGGAACAGGTCATAGCCCCATGTCCTTCTTTGACAAGGTCATTAAATTGTTAGATCAGGGAAAAGTTCTCAGTACAGTGTACCTAGAGTTAATAAAGCATTAGAAGTCTTTCATACAGTTTGTGCGGAAAAGATGAAGCAACAAGGACTAGACAACAATACAATTGTGTGGACATGAAATTAGTTGAATGGCTTTACTGAGAAGGTAATGGTTCTACCAACTTGGATGGCAGCATCAGTACATGCAATAACCCTTGTTGGATGAAAACTTTTATTGCTTGTGAAGATTGACTGCTTCCTCCCAGATCCTCCATTTTAAGGACAGCACCCAGGCCAGGGTCACCTTCCACGTCTTCCTTCTTCTCTAGATTCTACTCTTGACTCTCCAGACTTTCCCTCTCATGCCCTGGCAGGCACCTTCTCCTCTATTCTCTGACCCCCTTCCCACCCTCCTGTTTTTCAGATCTCTTTTATATGTCATCCTTCCCCATTAGAATGTAACCTCTTTAAGGGCAGAGACTGTCTTTCCTTTTGCTAGTATTTGGATCCTCAACGCTTCCTTAGCACAGTGCCTGGCACACGATAAGTATTAAATAAATGCTTCTTGACTTGACAAGCTGAAGGAAAGAGTAGATGGCTATTCACGTGAAAAAGATCTAGGGGTTTTAGTGGACTCACAGTTCAATAGAAGCTAGCTGTGTGAAAAGGCAGCCAAAAAACTAGCATGCTTTCAGGGTGCACCGAGAGATCTCTCTTCCCAGAAACCGTGCACTTTGCCTTGGGGGGGGGTCTGACATCTGAAGTCATCTGTTCAGCTGTGTCACCATATTTAGAGGAATGGCACTGAAATGCTAGAGAATGTCTAGATAAGTCCCACAAGGATGGTCAAGAAGCTCAAGTTCCTGCCATGTGAGGACTGACAGAAAGAACTGGAGGTGCTCAGCAAGAAGACTAGAAGACAATGAATGGACACAGCAGGTACCTTCAGGAGTCTGAAGAGCTGTCATATGGGAGGATAAGATTTTATTTTTACTTGTCCCCAGTGAACAAAACCAGAAGCCATAGGGAGAAGATGCAGCAACAAATTTAGGTCTCATGTACAGAAAAAATTCCTAAAAATAAGAGCAATCCAAAAGTTGATTGGACTGCTTCATGAGGTAATTAGCTCCCCACCTCTGGAGGTCCTCAAGCAAAGGCTAGATAATTACTTGTCAGGTACTTTGTAGAGAGAATTTCTATTTATGGGTTCTAGTAGATGGCTTAGAAGGTCTCTTTCAATTCTGAGATTCTATGATTCTTTTCTCTAATTGTTTCTAGATTATGAGATCCTTTGAGGAATTATTCTAAATTTAGAACAGCTGAAAATCCCACAGTGCTAATACTTACTGAATCAATTATATCATAATGTGAGACTCTGAAGTTATGGTTGAGACTATTATTTAAATGTTTAAAGACTGCCTCCAGGGTTCCAGGCATACAGGACCAATCTATGAGATGCCATTCTTTAGTTTCACTTAATTGAGGCATTTAGAGTAGTGCTTAAAACAGAAAACACATTGTCACAGCTACCAGAAAGAAAAACATTTTGTATCCCATGACATAATCCACATCATTTTTCTCAACAAAGTTACAGAACCCTACTTCTTATAAATATTCCCATCCAATATTTAATGGCTCCTTGTGTGTTTATTTCCTGACCTAAATGACCCCAGGACTTACTATATATTTTGATAGCACCTCAAGAATCAAGGTCCTAAAACATATAACCGTACCAAACCAGATTTCTCATTTCTGTTTCCAGTCTGCAGACATACTATCTAGTAGCTTGAATACAGGTAATTGTGGTCTTTCAGTAATATTTAAAAATCCTTTTAACAGCTGAATTCTGGAATAGGCATCAAAGAAGACCATAGTTAGAAGGTAATCACATTAGACTATAGTTAGAATGTAATCACATCATAGTAGAGTATACTCTATGGTATATAATTTCGGTAGTCAAAGAAACTTACTAGAAACACCAGCAGGATCTGGGATCAAGTTGAATTTTACTTTCCACATCACACAAAAAAAGGCTAATATGAAAAATGTTAGAACATAAAAATAAACTGATAAATTGCTGTTTTTATCAAGATTTATAGGTATGCATAAATCTTTCAAATGTAGCCTCATGAATCTAAAATAAAACTAAAATATTCTGAATTCATAAAGATGACAAACAATACTTTTGATTCTTTAGTAGTCTAAGCTAATCTGCTGTACACTACGCTATAACAACACAATAATTGCTTCTGAGAAATGTTAAAATTATGAAATAAACAAGAAAAACTAGAGGTCCTACACAAGGAAAAACAAGGAAACATCCCTGAGACTCAGTGGGGATGAGAGGGGAATTGGGATCTTGAAGGAAATGCTTTATTCAGAAGGAGCAGGTACAGGAAGGAAACAGGATGGAGGAGTGAACTGCAAAATCAGGAATGGTCAACAATGTGATATGGAAGCTAAGAAATCTGATTTCATCTCAGGCTGTTTGAAAGAGTCACCATTTCTAGGAAAAAGGGCATGATAGTTCTGTACTGACCAAAGTTCCTGTACAGAGCTCTGTTCAGCTCTAGGTATCATATTTTGGGAAGCCACTGACAAGCTGGAGAGCACAACCAGAACAGTGAAAGGCTTAGACTTTGTGCTACAGGAGAACAGGCTGAAGAAATGGCTATTGAACCTAAGGAAGAGAGGGACAAATATAGGAAGGGCTGTTATCTGAAAAAAAGAATTAAGTTTGTTCTACTTGGTGCCAGGGGGTAGAACTACGAGCAGAGGGCAGAAATTGCAAAGTGGCAAATTTAGGATTGAAATAAGGGGTCAGCGAGGTGGCACAGCGGATAGAACATCAGCCCTGAAGTCAAGAAGATCTGAGTTCAAATCTGACCTCAGACACGTAACACTCACTAGCTGTGTGACTCTGGGCAAGTCACTTAACCCCAACTGTGTCACCAAAAAAAAAAAAAAAGGATTAAGGAAAAATCTTCTTAACAACTAAAACCAATCCCAAAATAGAATGACCCACACTGGTAAATCAAGGTTTCCCCTTCAGTTGAGCTATTCCAGTATTCCAGTAAAAGTTGGATGGCCACTTGTTTGGTATATAGTAGAGGAGATTATTTTTTTTCAGGAATATGATGGGCTACATATGGGCTACATGATCATTGACATCCTTCTTAACTTGGACATTCTAGGATTAATGTGAAATAATCTCCATGAAATACCCAACAGTACAGACAAAATAAAACCAAATACCCTGAGCGTCCAGAATTATGACTTAAAAACATATTTTACTAGTATTTGATACCTGAATGCAACATAGTAGAGAGCTTTCCTTACTTCTTATCCTGCAATTCTAGGTTTAAATTAAATCTTTATACATTTTTAATGTAATTTTGAAAAATAAGACTAAATTATAGCTCCAGAAAATAACTTTGCCATCCACTTAATGACCAGGTGACAGTAAGAGAAAGTAAATGTTAGTTTTGCCAACAAATACAACAGAAACTTTAAAAAATCAATAAGTATTGCTATTTTACCTGCAGAATGGCCACTTCATTACGAAGCTGGCTTTCCTGTTTTGTGGGGAATCTCATCTTATCAATCACTTTAATAGCTACATCCCGTCCCGTCTTTCTATGTTTTCCTGGAGAAAAAGAAATGAAATAAGTAATACTGCTAAAATGAGAGCTCTCACAAATATAAAACACTATAATGGAAAATTGTCCACCAGCTGAAATAAGCAAACTTACTTGAAACATACTAAATTTGTTGGTGCATTTCCTTTCTTCCTAATATTTCTGTTAATTCACCTCCATAACTAAACCCATACTAATTCTGAGAAGGAAAAAGGTGCTATTTTCCCTTCTGTATTTATTTACTTCTAAAAGGTTATTTAAGAGACTCAACTGGGATATTTAAGGAGGCAAAAATGACTTTATTTGCTGAAAGTAAGAGGAAGAGTGAGTAGAGAGGTAGTAACAGCAGCTAATGTGCTCTGATCAAGCCTCTGATGTTTATCAAGGGAAGAAAACTGGGCTCCTGATTTCATTTTATTACAAGTTCACCCTTCTCAGCAGAGTAGCTGAGAACATTACTCCCTCCAGGTCCCTACATTCTTGGTAAAATACTTATACTACAACCCCATCTACTTTAAGAAAACATCATTACAAATTATGATGACCAAAAAATGCCTCTCCCAATGGCCACCCTTATGGCAAAGAGCCTTTGATCCAAAGATGCTCTTCCAATGGCAGACATTGAGCCTGCAAGCCTTCTGAGATTGGCAGAGATGACCAAAAATGGTGCTCCACTGGCACAGCCCTCAAGAACCCAAAACAATGATGGGCTGAGGTTAGGGACAGAATGAGAATTGATACAGCATTTTAAGGTTTGCAAAGGACTTGATGTGCTACCTTATTTGATCCTCAACACAACTCGGAGGTGGGAACAATTATCCACACTTTACAGTTGAGGCTGAGGGGAGTTAAATAACTTGCCTGGGGTTCAAATAAGTGTCTGAGGCAAGATTCAAATGCAAGTGTTCCTACCTCCAAATCCAAAACTGTAATGTCCACTGTAACTGCTGCCATACCACAAAAAGGCACAACAGGAGGACTTTCATAGAGACTTGATAAAATAAAAATTTTAAATGGGAAGAAATTATGCAAATAAGGTAATCATCTAATATTCAGAGCATTCCTTGCTCCCCAATACTACATTTTTGTGATAGATGATCTTTCTCTAACTCTCTTTCTTAACTGAAAACACACAAAATCACAAAAATGAGCTTTAGATATGACTGGAACATTTTTTTCACATACTTAAGGGCACCAATTCTTCATGAAATGTCAAGAGATTTGCAAGTACCCATATCAGTGAGATCACCAGTTCATCAAAGCTTCAACACAGACAATTTTCCAAACACAAAGTTGTAATGAATAGTATGCAATTATTTATGAGGCAAACATGGTATTGATGCAAATAACTCTTCAATCTAAATAACAAGCCCTAATTTCTCTCCTGAACTTAATCTCAGATCATGAGCAGTAGATGTTTCAGATGAGATGTCCCACAAGCATATCAAATTCAGCATGTCCAAACACTACATCATCTTTTTTACAAAATCTAGCCCTCTTCCAAATTTCCCTATTTTCAAAGACAAGACAATCCTCTCACTCACCCAGGTTTACGACCAAAGCATTGTGCTTGACTCCTCACTCTCTCTCCTTTTACATATCCAGTCAATTGTCAAATCATTTACACCCCTAAAACAGATTTCACATCCATTCCCTTCTCTCTAGTCACACAGCCACCATCACCTCAAGCCCTCATTGCCTCACACCTGAATCACTGCAAAATTCTAATTAGTCTCTCTAACCCAAGTCTCTGCCAATCCATATTACAAAGAGATGTCAAAATGATTTTCCTAAAATGTAGGTCTGATCATGTTACTCTTAATACTGGATAAACTCCAATGGCTCCATATTCAAAGATAAGTTCTTGTTAATCTCTTAAAGCCTGTCACAAGCTAGTTTCAACCTACTTCTCCAACATTATACATTACTCTCTTTCCCATGCTCTGAGATCCAGCCAAACTGGCCTTCTTACTGCTCCCATGAATGAAATTCCATCTTCTACCTCCCAAGACTTTGTAGTGGCTTTCCTTCATTCCAGGAAGAAATTTACTTCTGACCTTCTCCTCTTAGAATCCCTTGCTTTCAAAAATCTGCATAAGTTCCACCTTCTAGATGACAGTGCTAAGCATATATCCAAGAGGTCAATGACAAAAAGAAGGGCTGCATATACTTTTTTCATAGCATTTTTTATAGCAGCAAAGAACTGGGCAAAAAGTAGATGTTTATCAGTCAGGGAATGTGTGACAAATTGTGGCACAAAAAATATCACTATGCATTAAGAAATAAAAATTATGATGAATAAGGAAATGCATGGAAAGACTTATTATACAAGAACAGAGGAAAAATGAAGTAAGCAGAACCAGGAAAACAATATACACAATAATTGCCACAAGGTAAATGGAAAGAATAACAAAACAACAAAAACTGAACACTGAAAAATTTCAATGACCACGCTTGGGCCCCAAAGAAAAGATATGAGAAGACATTTTCCTCCGAACACTGTAAACAACAACAGACCTTTTCAATATGTTGGCTAGTTCTGCTTAACTTTTTTTTCTTCTTTCTCTTTTATTCTTTATTACAAGAAAAAGCTCTCTGTGTGGAGTGGTGTGAAAAGGATGCAGTGGGAAATGCTGGTGATATAAAAACGAAAGGCATCAATAAAAATCTACCAAAAAAAAAAACCCTAACATTCATTTGCAATGGCTTACCTCCATATACAATGCCAAACTGTCCTGAACCCAGGACCTCATCAGCAAAGATCTGGTATACAGAACTGATATCCTATTTTAGGAAAAACAAGAAAGAAATAATTTAATATTTATATTTAAATATTACTTAAATTAATAACTTAGTATTTAATAAACAGGTATCTTCCACTGACTTTCCATTATAAAAATATATAAATATAAAAATATGCTAGCTTTCACTTTGAAAAAAATCCTACAGAAAAAGTAAAATCTATCTTTCAAAATGTAGGCTTTCTTTACTATGTCTCTGAAAAGTTAATGCCCAATTATTATGCTTTCAATCTTAATTTGGGACCATGATGTGAAAGGATAGGACACTGTTTTACGAGAACCTGACTGAAACTGGCTTGTTTCTTTAAACATCCTATATATCACAAAATTTGGGAGTCGGATTAAAAGTAAATTATTATTACTAGACAGATAAGAACATTTTGCCCTATATCACTATTGAAAGGTTTCATGCCTCATTCTAAAGAAATCCCTCCCCCCACACCCTTCTCCTCTAACTTGAAGGAAATCTCCCAAGGTTCACAGTCAACAAATTTAAGCTGACAGCGTGAGGGTATGATGCACAACGCCCTAAATAAGGAGCACTCCTTCTCCCATCTCTTATAAATCGTATCACTCTTCCCAGATACTTCTTCATTCGCCATTCGTCACCAGCCGCTCTGCGTAGTTGTGACCACATCATCATCACCCACCCCACACCCACCTCCATCAATTCATCATCAGGAAACTCCTCCTCACGGGGACTGCTCCAGCTTCGGCACTTGCCCCTCAGCAGCACCCTCTGCCGCTTCTGCCCCTCTGACTGGAGGACCGAAGGGCAGAGCAAAACTCTACTCCCACAGCTTCGCTTTACGGAGGAGTCAGAATCCTCACTCTGCCCCCAGCTTCTCTCCACCACCACCACCACCAGCCTCCATCATCACATCATCCCATCACCCTCTCCTGCCCCGCCACCTTCAGCTTCCTTCTCCTTATTTGTACCCACAGAGCTTAGTGCCGGTATTCCTGGTACAGAGTTGGCACTTAGCAAACGGTTATTGCATTGTATTGTACTCTACAGCATTTATCGCTGACCAATCGTTAGCACTGATTTATACTGTATACTGCCTTTCATTGTAGCTATATGGCTATATGTATATACCTCCCCTGCTAGGTCATAAGCTACCAGAAGGGAAGGAACATGCTTTACACGTCTTCTTAATCTCCCACACAGCCTAGTACAGTGCATCGTGCACTGGATAAAGGTGCTGAAATGAATGTTTCTCCTTAGTAAATCTTATCATATACTAATCAGCTAAACTGTACATTTTGTTAGGACTATCACTTACCACATTCTCCTGGACCTGGCAGTTAGAAACAGAGATGCTAACAGACAACTCATCTGTAAAATGTGAAAATAATAAATTAGTGGAAAGAACAAGAAAATGTTGATATTCTACTTAACCGAACAACGGTCTGGTATGATTTTTAATGTTGCATCCAAAGCAAAAAGATAGATCTAAGATTACAAAATGAACCGTTTTCCAGACTTAATGTGTAGATAACAGATAAGTAAAAGGAAACATGGAGGAAAAGAGGAAAACACATGGATCGAAAGCAGATAAAATAATTATGTTATTTTTATAGCCCTAGAAACCTATAAAACTTCATCAAAAAGAGATGCACAGGTTCATAGATTTAGAGCTGTAAGAAGTTATTTAATCCAATCTCCTATTTTATAGATGAAAAAACTGAGGCCCATAACCTCAAGGTTGCACAAGCATTAAGAAACAAGAACCAGATCTAAACCCTGGCCCTGGCCTCTCTGCCATGCTGTTTTCTTAACGAAGGGTAGATGTAAGATAATATGCAAAAAAAAAAAAAGGACAAACAATAATAAGTATCACAATAATTCTCTGGAAGTAACTTCTAAATAACAAATACAATTCATGAAATTTTTAATGATCTTAAAATTCATTTTAAGATTAAGCAGAGTCTTCCAGTCCAGGCTAACAACTTTTCAAATCTTCCATTTGTGCTGTACATGTCTTGCACACATAGTTATTCACATCCGGTCTCACTCATTAGGACAGGAGCTCCTTGAGGAGACGGACAATATTTTTGCCTTTCTCTGGGTACCCAGGACTTAGCACATTGCCTATCACACAGTGGTATGCTAAAACAAGAAAAGGCATGATGCTGCACTAAGCTAATCTTCCTGAAACACTACTTCCATTATTATCTGCTCAGAAACGCAGTGGTTTCCAAATGTCTCCACAAAGAAACCTGGAGGTCCTTGGATGACTTTTTAAGGTCTTTTATCTCTCTTCCCCTCCCTCCCTGGCCAACTTCATTTCCTACAGCTCCTCAGATAACATCTGCAGTGGCCAAGTTGACCTTTGTGCTGCCTACCTATCATCACCCCTACTTATGCCCCCCTCTCTCCTGGAACAGAGCTACCCATTGTCTTCATCTATCCAAAGGCCTCTCCGGCTCTACTCCCTTCAAGCTCAGGTTCAAGTCCCATTTCCTCCATCAACCATTTCCTGACTATTCAAACCTATACTGCTCTTCCCCTCCTTTGAACTCAGTACTTATTTGCACCACTAACAACTAACCTTATACTGCTTCATGCTATTTAACTCATTTATGTGTATGTTATGTCTTCTCCAATTAGAGTACAAGCTTTCTGAGGGCAGGGAGGGGTTCTTCTAAGGTTACTGGCAAAACAGTGACAGATAAAACACCAAATACTTGTTCAAATGGAATAATTATAATGGAAGCTCTTCTATAACTTTTAACTATTCTGTCAAGTTCAGAAAACCAATTGAGGTATTCACCCTCAAAGTTTATAAAGTCACAAGATCTTTAGAAAGCGGATGTTGTGCCATGAGTCTCACTATGACTACTATTCAATTTTTAATGTTAACTTCAGCTTTTACAAAAATTACTGGCATTACAAATTTCCCTTCTATCGACCATCACTGTGTGCTAGGCAATGAGCTAAGTCCTCAAGGTGCTCACATCCTAATGGGTGAGTCAGGATGTAAATAACTACACATGCAAGACATACACAGTGTGAATGGAAGGTAAGTTCAGAGGTAATGTACTAGCATTAAAGGGATATTAGAAAAGGCCCCCTGTAGAAATTGAGGCATGAGAACCTACTTTTTACATTTCTCTAGGAAATAAAGGATTGATAAATGTTATTAATGCTTAACAAGTAGAATTTATTCTTTACCTCTATAATTTAATTCCCTATAACTAGTTTATAACAGCACACAATTCAGCCATGAGCCAAAAATACAAGGCATTTCTCTAACAAGAGCAAAAAATGGTCTAAGAGTTACCTGCTACATGGGGTTATAATGGGAAACAATATTTTAATGAAGTAATAGCACGGTAATGTGCTATGTTACTCAAATGATGCATTCAGATTACAATGATGCTGAACTGCTTGACTGCTTACTGTGATCTTTTCCTTGGCCCGGAGAAGTACAAACGCTAGCTTGAGGGGTGACTGGCATGAGAGCCTGACGAATGGCCTTTTCCCAGCTCTGGGCTACATCGAGCCCTACTCCCGTAGCTGCCAGGACTGGACTGTGACAGCTGCCTCCATTGTTCTCACCCACAAAGTAGACCATCGTATCAGTGATGATCTCAAAACAGTGTGGATTACTACCGTGAGAAATGTGAGAGAGATCTTGTGGAGGAGACACGCGGAGAATTTCTGAAAGTGGTATTTCCTGAAATAAAAAAGAAAGCATTGAAAAATGTGAATAAAGCTTTGTTCAGACACACAAAGTAACTTAAGATCTCAATTCCTACCAGACAAGAAAAGCAAGAAGGGGCACAGTGCGTGCCGCAGGGAGTACACGGCCAAGAACGGTCTTGGATTTACTGACTCTTGCTTTTAGAAGCCTGAGCAAGCTAGAAGCATCAACAGAGGCATGACAGAGCAGAGGAGGCACAGGGTCCAGGCCTCAGATTAGGATTGAGCCTGGCAAAGAGAATACTTCCTTATCCAGGAGGTTGCCCACACTTCATTCAGGGGGCAAGGAGATGATGTGGGCTTTGTTGCTGCTACCAGCATTTGCTCTTACCAACCGTCATCAAATCATGGGCCAATGGATTGGGCCTGTGATGTCGCTGACACAGGGAACTGCCAGGTGACAAAACGCCATCCACCAACGCATACAAGTGCCTTCTCTGCAGCTTACTGCCCTAGAGAACAGCCTGGAGCACTTGGAGGTTGTGATCCCACCCAAGATCAAATGGCCAGGATCCATCAAAGGTGGGACTTGAACCCAGTTCTTCTGGCCTTGAGGCCAGTTGCCCCTCCGCCAAATGACATTAAGGAATATTTTACCAGGTCCTATTCTATACAAGGTACTATAAAGCAAAGAGGAGTCAAGTGGCTAAAGTAGAAGAGAGGATGTGGGGAAGTGGTCCTTGTATGAGCCATTCATATTTCTGTTACTGACTATAACACTTTAGAGCAGAGATGTTCAGAGATATCATTACTCCTGAGATGTAAATGAGGGCCAAAGACAACGGCTTAATGACACCCCATTCCCTGGCTTTTCTCATCTTTCCAGTTATGCCATTCATCAATATTGCTCGGCAACTGTCAGGCTGAAACACATGCATCGGGGGGTCTAGGTGTAGTGGAAGACAAGCCAGGATCTGCCATCAGAGTAGATGGTAATAATCAGGATGCAAGATGCTCAAGCCAGCCCTTGGAGTGAGTACATCTGGACAGGGTGGCAACAGTGAATGCAGCAGCAGATTTGAAGTCGTGATGACAGGGTGAACGTTCAATGACACCTCAGAATTTACTCTGTGACCCTTGGCAAGCCAATCTCTCAAAGCCTCAGTTTCCTCTACTACTTATATCTCTTCCAGCCCTAAATCAATGATGACAAAAAGAAGGGCCTTTCTCTCAGGAAGATTGTGGGGTTATGATAAGTACTCCACAATTTCCTAAAGACAATGAACCCTCATCTCCTCCAGTTTCATCAGTTCTGAGCCAACTGCACTCTCTATCCATAGGCTCAAAGCAGGCTTTGAATAAATACATGTTAACTGACTTTACCTCACAAATTCCAATCTTTCCACTGGACAACTCAATGAGCTTCTACTCAACTGAAAATAATAGTCGACAACAGGCATTCTTTTATCCACTTGATTTCTCTGGTGTGGATAGTTAGGCTAAACTCTTTTGAGTGACTCTGGATCTCATTTAGGAGGGTCTGTAATATTTTTGGGGCACAATGCAATTGACTCAATGTTGTGAGCAAGCAGAAGTATTTGGAGAACTTCACCATCTCTAGGGAATCTCTCCTCCATATGGACTATGTGTTAAACTTCATCAAGGATGGATATTAAGAGCTCCCTCCCTAGTGTTTTTCCTATCCTATTATTAGCAATCAGAAAATCACTAAACAAAATTACTTGTTTTTTCATGACTGCAAGAATCATCAATGATTCTGATATACAAGAGGTACTTTGTTGGACAAAAGTCATTAAAGCATCATTCTGCTCTATCAAATCAAATGCTTTTCGTATAGTCGACAAACAATAAATATAACATATCTTATATTCTGTATAACTTCAGTTAACAAGGTAAGAAAAAAGTAGTCTGCTATAGAGTATCATTTGTAAAACCCTACCTATTCCCTTCTCATACCTTCAAAGATATCTACATTGTGTATGTAGATTATGCTCATAAAAATTCTATAAAGATGAATGGATCCAAAGTTCAAAACATTTTCTAGGTCACATTTTTTGAGGGGAGGGGTAAGAGTATGATTTTTTTTTCCCAAATGCTTAGTAATCCAGATTTGAGGCCTCAATACCTTCAAGATTATGCTGCCTCCAGCACAGGCCTTCTCTGTGCATACGTGGTAACTGGTTTAGCCCAGCTGCTGTTCTGCTCCTCTTTTTTTTTTTTTTAGTGCTATTTCAATGAGAGATCAAGTGTCATACTGGAGGTCAGTGCTGGGATGCACACACTGGACAAGGCACAAGAGTTTCACTTTCCTCACCTATCAAATGGGATAATAATACTAGCACACATCTCCCAGGGTTATTGCGAGGCTCAGATGAGATAAACGCTTTTCAGTCTTACAGCTCCAAGTATATGTGAGCTGTCATTTACCCCCACAGGGCTCCTCAAGGACGGGGGTGGTGACTCCACTAACCCCTGTGGAAAAGAGTCTGTCATGGAAATCTTTTGTAGATTTTTTCCCCATTTTTCATCTATTTGTGCTCTTTCCAGTTTCATCCCTAAATCCCCTTGAGATTTAGTTTCACTGAATTCTCTCCTGTAAATTCCATTTTCCCTCCTCTGCTTATACATGTTTTATGACGTGATCCTGCTTAAAATCTTTACAATTCTTCTCTGGAAGGTTTTACAAATTTATGTTCTAGACCTTGACTCGCACAGCTCTTTGCTTGGCTGGCTATGGTAGCTCCTAGGCTCTTTTGGTTTTCATCTTTTAGTCATGATGATACATTTACGTCAGCTAAATTTCCTTAGGAGGTGGTAAGAGTCTGTGTCAGTGTCTGATTTTATATACATATATAATATGTATATATATATATATATATGCATATATATATATATGTGTGTGTGTGTGTGTTTCTTACTGTTGAAGCATGTTTTTCGCTATTTTCCCCTATACCTACCTTACTATGAAGGCCACAGAATATTAAATATACAGTGATGTAAGAATGTTACCAAATCTTTTTAGAGAATTTCTCTTGAGGCAGATAGGTGGTGTAGTAGATAGAGCATGGGCCCTGGAGTCAGAAGGGCCTGAGTTCAAATGCGGCCTCAGACACTTGACACTAGCTGTGTGACCCTAGGCAAGTCACTTAACCCCAAACTCTCTCTCTCTCTCTCTCTCTCTCTCTCTCTCTCTCTCTCTCTCTCTCACACACACACACACACACACACACACACACACACACACACAGACACACACACACACACAACACAAGAACTTCTCTCCCCCCCTTCTCTCTAACAGATGCTGGTACATAAACTACAATCATCTTCATGGTGGTCCTTTGTGCATTACCTTAAGCACAACAACAAATATATGGCCCTATGTCCCCTGAAGTGTTCTCATCACCCTCCAACAGACCCTCTAATGCAACCCTGTCAACTATCCTTCATCATGCTTCTCATTTCATTTACAGTAAGAATGTTAAGACTGAGGGGATTCGGTTCCTCTAGGACCTCTAGCAGAAGTATCTTCTACTACACAAAGGTCTCTCATTTAGCATACCAACAGCTAAAGTCCTATGATTCTCAGGACCACATGCCCCTCCTCCCTTATCACTGCAGCAAAGAAGGAGGCTGACAGGAGTTGGAGCCACTCTGTATCATATTTTGTTTTATGGGTTGCCAGGCCAAATCATTAATTAAAAAGTGGTCAACATAACAGTGGTATGCCTCTGAGAATTTGGCAAGGCGAGTCATGTTGCCAGAACTATATTCATGGTTTTTTCACCATGGCAGAACTAGCCAGAGCCTGCACTCTGCTGGCAAAACCTTTGATGACCCAATGAATTCCATGCCACAATGAAATATTGAACTTTGATGTGTGAAAGCTGAAACCAGAAGCAAGCAAAATTACAAGACAATGGTATAACATATGGTGGGTGTAAGCAGGCTGTAACATATCACAACAATGTTCTGCAGACAAAATTGGTATAAAAGACATCATCTAGTACATTTATGCCTGAAAAAAGAGATGGCTCAGTCACATAACAGGAATGGACAGCCCGAGGCCTATAGCCTTGAGATATATTAAAAAAAAAAATAAATGAAGCAGTCTATCGGATTTATTATCTATGGAGGATTTACAGAAAGACATGGGACAAGAAGAGGTTTCACAATCTGTACCAGGTGGACAAGAGGATAGAAGCAGACACAGAGAGATCACAGATCTAGCTAAGTATAAATTATGAATAAAACATACCACGCTGATCAGAGGTTCCAAATTTTATTCCTGGAGACATTATTGTTGAAAGGTCTAATACTGAATCATTTTAGTGGTAGTAATAGTAATAGCAGTAGTAGTTGTGGTAGTAATAACTAAAGTTTATAAAGTACCTTAAAGTTTGCAAAGTGCTTTCCATGTATTTATCTCACTTGGTCTTCACAATAACTTTAAGATGTAGGTGCTATCTATTTTTAGCCCCCATTTTATTAGTGAGGACACTAAAGCTGAGAACTAGTGTCTGAGATAGAATTCCAACTCAGGTCCTCTTAACTTGAGATAGTATTTGTAAAGTGCTTAGCACACAGGAGGTGCTTAATAAGTGATTATTCCCTTTCCCTTCCCCCACTCTTTACTTTCAAGTTCAGCACTCTATTTACAATGCCTCTCAGCTATTTCATCATCTGCAAAATGGATATGATAAAATAATTTTCACCTATTTACTCCACTTACTAGTGTTTTATGAAAGAATAAGCATAAGAAAAAATGAAGCCACAAGGATTAAAAGTAATAAATATCATTTATTGTAATTAATTAATTCATACACTTACTATATATTTTCACATATTTTTGAAAGACTAAACATTCTGAAAAACCACTGAGTCCTTACCTTATAATACTTTGATCCAGATTCATTTTGAAATAATGTAAGGAATTTGCTGTCAAGCCTCCAGTAATGTCTCTTTCTCTACAAAAAAATAAAAAATAAAAACACAGTAGAGTGCTCTGAGTTTTGAATATTTGAATACCTTTAACTACTTGCATGCCTGCACTCATACACTCATACTATATAACCACTCTAACATATGAGACTTAGCATGCTCATTCTCATCAGCAGCCAAGCTTTCTCTTGGATAACAAGTTTGTTTGGGGAGGGGAGGAACAAATCTTCATTATCTACATAAAAAAACTTTACCCAATAGGATGGAGAGAAATACAGTTAGTCTTTCACAATATGACTATTATGGAAGTGTTTTACATGACTACAGGTGTGTTACCTATATAGAATTGCATGCTTTCTTGGTGAGGGGGTGGTGGTGAAGAAGGGACAGAATTTGGAACTCAAAGTTTAAAAAAAAAGAATGCTAAAATTGTTTGTACATGTAAAAGGGGAAAAATAAAATACTAAACAAAAAAATGGGGAAAAAAACCTACCCATCCAAGAATCCCATCTTTTTCTTTTAGACTTTCTTCACAGAGCCTTTTAAAACCCATTCAAGCGTCTCAAAACTCCTGCCTATAAAATTTCTAGGGCTAATCTAAAATTATCCACTTGCAATTAAAGCACTATCCTTCTCTGATAAAAAAAGAACGGCCTGTAACTATTCTCTTTACAAAAGCCTGTTAAATGAAACACATTTTTAAATGCCTCCTAATCTTGTCACCCTAGCCCATAACTTGTGGTGCCTTCCTAGACTTAATGATAGCCCCTTTCACCTTTATTTACAGACTCCAATTTCTTTCATTCATTCTCATGGCACTCCTCCTGACTCTTTCTGAATTCTCTACCTCCCTCCTTAGTTATGAACATACCTTTTAAAATGCCTCTCAACATGTTAAAATAGCTAAACATCCCAGTGCATTTTTGAAACAGGACACTAGTGGCGACTTTTTGTTAACAAACATGAACACATTTAAAATTATAAGGCTACCGACCAAATTGTCTCTGCTGGTATAGTGCACCATCCAGCCTTCTTTCACCATTGTGCTGCTTTTCCTCTTTGTGTGCTTGATTGACTGCACAACTCTCATTAGTGGGATATTATTGCTCGTTGATGGACTAAGAAAAACGTTTAAAATGTATTAGAAAGATTTAAAACCCAGTTTAAGAAATCGCATATACCATAACTGATCAGAATTCTGTTAAGGTGATGTTTTTCAAATAAAAATGAGAAAATAAATAACTTCCTCCCGCTTCAAACACACACCACACTTCCACGCCTTCGCATCCTTGTTCAGGCTATCTCTGGTGACCAGAATGCTTTCCCCATCTCTCTTCATTTTTTCCAGTTCTGTCAGTCCTATAAACCCAACTCCTGCTTTCTAAGGGAGCCTGACTTGACTCCTCTTGGTTAGTAATGACTTCACACCTCATATGACTCTTTTTTTAAAAAAAACTCATCAATACATTCCCTTTTGGAATACTGTTCATTAGACCTCTATGTTGATTCTTCAGAGCAGGGACTGTGCTTTACATCAACTTCGCATTTTCCCCAAAGCCTACACAGGATAGTGTTTTGCTAAATAAATGATGCTACTTAGATTTTTACATGAGTAGCATTTTCACAAAATGTCAAGCATTTCAGCTTTATGAAGCTGCTCCAAAATTGACATCATTACTTTTTGATGGAAGTTCCCAAATATATTCTCTACGGTGGTTTCTGCCATCAAAAATCTTCCTGCATGGGATTATCATTTGGTACAAAAGACATGCCACTATTGTTACCTTGCAGTGGGGCTCTGCCATGAACCTACACTGTCTTGATTGTTTAAAAAGCAGTTTTCTCTTTAAAAAAATGTAGAAAATTCACCTACTTTTTCATCTGCATAGAAAGGCTAAACTATGTCAGTCATCAAAAATTCTAACACACCTATAAAAAACTGCCTGCTGCTACATCCTCAGATTTGCTCATTGTTAATCATTAAAGAGTCTGCACGTCAGTCCTTGCAACTCCAACACCTAAAAGTTCTATAACGGTAGAAGGAGACACCTCTGGGTTCTCTGAAATGGAGCTCCCTACCTATTGGCCCTGTATGATGGGTTAGATCTACCTATCGTTTCCCAGGCATATTCATTTACTACCTGATGGTTTTGACAGCTTCTTCATCTCTTTCTACATCAAGATCAGAGGGATCTAAGAAGAACATTTTGTCTTCCGGTGGAGATGGTTCTTCTGGGTCATCCAAACCCCGACCACCATCACTATTCATATCGCTACTGTCAATGTCCATTGGCATATCCATATCTGTTCCCAAACTGGAAGGCTCTGGCAAAGTTTTAAAGGAATTTTAAATTGTTGAAAGAGCAAGAAATTGAAAAACTATTTCAAAGTTAAAAGTAAAACAGATTTTAAAATGAGTTCCTCTAAAACTGATTTTCTCGCATAAATATTTAGAAAAAAACCTGCCTATCAACAGTGTCATTCATTCAACAAGCATTTATTAAGAACTTACTATGTACCAATCCCTGTGCTAAATGCTAGGGATACAAAAAAGAAGCAAAAATATGGCCCCTCCCTGCATTCAAAGAAGCTCACATGCTAATGGGGGAGACAACATGCAAACAACTATGAACATATAAGATATGTACAGAGTTGATGAAAGATAATATCAGAAAGAAGGCACAGGTGTGGGAGATATTGTGATACCAGGACAACAGCGCCCTGTCGAAGCTGGGAATTAATGGTTTGTCAGGCCCTCTTTTCAAGGATAAAACTTGTCATAATGAGAAGAAGTACTTATCTGACCGTAACCAACAATATGTTACTATCTTTACTTTTTAAATTTTAAAAGCAATGTTACCCATATGCTTCATAAAAAGGTAAATTTCAGCCCATTCTGGGTCAGACTACCATAAATTTCAAATTGATGGAATCTAATTCTAAGAGGTTTTATTATAGTTGTGTTTTCCTTTCACATTTATTATTGAGTTTCCTGCCACAATAGCTGCTATGCTGAAAGTCTTCCTCCATTTTTCCTCAATTTGTCCTCTACTCATTCTAGTCTATCCTAAAATTTCATTCATGCTAATCACCAAAAGACAATTATTAATAATGTAAGAATTGAAAATTGTAAGAATTAACTCATTTTCCTTAGCAATGAATTACATATGTAAGCAAATCCAACATAAATAATCAGTTCCTGTACATGTTTTTTTTAAAAACTCACCATCTGATAAAGTTACTCTAATAATATGCAATGAAAAACACAGACATGTGTATCCTGAGGAAAAATGTTAATTAATTCTATGGTACTTGGCTTCCATTTCTTATGCTTCCCTGTTCCAATCCCTCCCGATATAAAGTGCTACTAATAATCAAACTCATATCAAGTTACACAGCTATTTTAGGGAATGTTACTTCAGCCTTTAAAGTTTGGGAATATTTATTATATCATAATATATAACTAGGTGATGCACTGGATACAGCACTATGCTTGGAAACAGGAAGACTCATTTTCATGTGTTCAAATATAGTCAGGAAGACTCATCTTCATGAGTTCTAAGCTAGCCTCAGACACTTACTAGTTATGGACCCTGGGCAGGTCATTTAACCCTGTGTGCCTCAGTTTCCTCATCTGTAAAATGAGCTTGAGAAAGACATGGCAAACCACTCCAGTATCTTTGCCAAGAAAACCTCAAATAGGGTCATGAAGAGTCAGACATAACTGAAATGACTGAACAACAACAATAACTTTGTGAGCTCACTCTTATAGTTTCCATTATTTTCCTGAAAGTAAGTGCTCTATAGAAAACCCAAGACAGGTCTACATACTTGCTGATGGCAGCATATAATATCACATACGGATATTTTTTTCTTAATTGACTATAATAAAGAAAACAACCCATACAATCTAGAGGCAGTCAGATGGCTCAGTGTGTAGTGATTGACCTTGAAAGAAATGATTAATTACCAGTAATTTGGGTAGATTCAGAGTTCCCCCCTTCTTCTAAAGTCTCGATTTGCTGATAATGAGATTGGACTTTCTTGTTCAAGACTTCACGTTGGTAGAGTAGCCATGGTGTTCTGCTCAGGCTTGGGTGAGGCATACAGTTTTTCAAAGGACTGCCCAAGGCTGGGGGAGGTCTGGGCGTAGAGATAGTCTGTCCAAAAGTGACACGACATCACTCTCAGCCCCTTATTTTAATACAGCCCACCTGCCACTGTGTTATTCAATCAAGAGTTGACTGCCACCCCTCAGAACATCTACTCTTTGAAGGGCATATCAACTGTGAGCCCTCCACCATGACTGCCTTTGGTCTAAGAGAGATGGCCAAATGACCATCCTTTTATTAGTAACATACTGGCCTTATTAAGAAAATGATTAAATTACCCAGAAACTACTGAGTTTAAATCCTGCCTCAGATACTTATTAGCTGTGTGACTCTAGGCAAGTCACTTAACCTCTGCCTGCCTCAGTTTCCTCATTTGTAAAATGGTGACAATATAGAATCTACTTCCCAGGGTAGTCAGGTGGATCAAATGAGACAATAATTTTAAAGTGCTCAGCATAGCAGCTGGTACATAGTAGGTGCTTTTAACAAATCCTTGTTTCCTTCCCTTCTTTCCCATCTCTCTGAATGATAAAAAGGATCGTAAGGTCATCTATTTCAACCCTGTTCTTTACAAAGCATGAAAGCCCCTCTACAACAAACCCAAACTCTCCCATCTAATCTGTACTTTGATAGTGACAGAAAGCCATTTACAATAATAGCATGTATTTCACTTGGGGCTATCTCCCCATACCTTCTACCCATTTATCCTCCCTCAGTCTGTATTCTGGAATCAGGCAGAAGTTTTATCATTTCTTCCATTAAGAACTCTTCTCATCTTAGATGGCTATCATATCTACCTTAGTTAACTCTTCTCCCAGCTAAATTTCCTTAGGGCCTTCAACCAAACCTCCGCATGATTTTCTTCACATGAAGCAATTTCTCCCCTTTCTATGCTAGCACTGTTGATTTTTTTTTTACCTAAGTTCAGGTTTTATATTTATACCTGTTAAATTTAATTGTCTTAGATTTGCCCATCATTCTGATGAGAATATCAAAGAGGGCAGGGTCAAGGTGAAAGCCCTAAACTCCAGGGCCTAGAGCATAGGAATAAAGTTTTAAACTGACATTAATCCTTCATCAGCTCTCTGACTACAAAACTGCAGCCTACGGAGGCAAGGAACAAAAAGAGGAAAAATAAATAATCAATTTAGCTTAAAGATAGTTGACAAGAATACAGTAAAATATGTCTTTTTCTCATTCTAAAAGCCACTGTTAAGAAAAATGTTTTTACCTCCATTGAAAGTAACCTCCCCAAGACAGTCTCTAGGTACTTTTGATGCACAGCGCTTATGACAATTAAATCTGCAATCTAAAATAAAAATATTCAGTTTAATAATTTATATGAAAACACCTACCAACAAATCACATGAATAGTTATGTCAGGAATATTTCAAGAATTTCTCTATTTTTATATGGTGCTCGTAAGCTCTTTTAAAAAAAATCTTCCTGAGGGGCAGCTAGGTGGCACAATAGATAGAGTACTGACCCTGGAGTCAGGAGGACCTGAGTTCAAATCCAGCGGGCCTTAGACACCTGACACTTACCAGCTATGTGACCCTAGGCAAGTCACTTAATGCCAACTGCCTCACCAAAAAAAAAAATCTTCCTGAAGTCTTAATGACTGTATTCCAAACAGTCAGCAACACTGAATCTCCTTTCATTTTAATTCTGTTGCCTCCTCACTTCACACCCATTCCCCACTCTTTCCCATCTTCCCCATGAACTCTCCAATTACTACCAAATTATCATTCAATAGGTCTCAGATTTTCCTATATTTTTCTTATTCTTTCTAAACCTCAGTAACCTTTTGATATCCTATCTAAGGAGGGCCTTGTAAACTCTACATTTTAGCTGCACACGTACAAAAGTACCAAAATGGAAGTCGCAACGCACACTGCAGAGCAGTAGAATCAAATTCAAATGGATAGGGAAGGATCCCTGCCCCAGCATCCTGACTTAGAAAACTACAAGTTAACAATACCCAGGTTGACTGTGTTTTTATTTATTTTGTTAAATATTTCTCAGTTACACGTCAATCGGGTCCCTGCGGTACTGGGGAGTTTTGCTCCCAACCAAGAAAGAGAGCTGGACTCTGCTTGGCTGGTCTCTCCCAGGTACAGGCACAGGACCATGGTGCTGACAGGAGTGCCATTCATCAACTTCTTCAATCCTGTAAGTCTACAACTCCATGGGCCTAACAGTCAAAAACACAAATGCATTTTCTAATAACAATCCAGCAAACTGACTCTGGATCCTGACTTTGGTTGCTATTTCAGGCTGAACTTCTGTGATTCAAGAACATCTACAGCATCACTGCTGGCTCTGCTCCACATCTTCTCAAAAGGCAACAAGTCATTCAGTAATGCTTTAACTTCTTAAAAAAAATTTCCAATAAAGGACTTTTAAATACATCTCTTCTGTGTCTTCTGAATTAATGAAGACAAAAGTCATTTTCAAGATTACTTTGATGTCAACAGTCACTTTCTAGCTATATGAGACACATCTGCTCCTCCATCGCCCCTCCTCTTCAATACGCACTCTCTCAAGATATGAGGTATGATACTAGGGTCCCTGTCTTGTGTCTCAAAGCCTCAAGTCTTCCCCCAAGGCTTCTTTCTCCACTCCTATTTTAAAAACTGGTTTGAGAGCACCTTCTATTTTGCTAGCTAGCCCAAAGTACACACTTGCTCTAGGCCAAAATTAGTAGTTATCACTCTGGACATATTATAACATTGATCAACTTATGAACTCACATTCAAAGTCTGGCTGTTAAAAATTCAATTTCAACTTTATCATACCTTGTTGAATGATTCATAGCAACTAATAATACACTGTCTCAGCTGTCAAGTTAATACTGTCAAGGAAGCTTTCATTCATTATCTACTTGGAAAAATATGAATTATAATTTAGTCTGTTCTGATGTACAATCAAGGTTTTATGCTACATGTTAAATTTCAGGTCATAGGTTTCATTTAGATAATTTATTCCAAGGAAAGATAAAAAAGATGATAATTAAAAGCCCTAGCATTCTGTTTCTCATATTAACCACCTACTCAAGCTTAGGCAAGTTACACAATCTGTTTCTCATTTATCAACCTGAGGTAATCATTTCAATTCAAAGGAGACTTAAATGTAGCTTCTAGAAACTTAAAATGATATTCAATGTAAGGGATAAATTTATTATTCCAGTATCCCAGTATGATACCTAGCTTTTCAGGGACATTTAGTGACCTTTGGGTCATCATTCCTTAATGTAGGCACTACCCCTTCTCCTGTCCTGGCCCTGGGGCAGCTATCCCAGGACAGGAGACAGATCACCCTTACTGAAAATTTTATTCTAAATGAATTACTGGTAATAATGGGCAGAAAGCACTATTACTGTGGCTTTTAATACTAAAAGCCAACTAACTACTCATCTAACTGTGATAAGGCAATTACATTATGTTACAAAAGATGCTCTAGAGGTACAAAGGAAAAAAACTTTCAAGAGTAAGAGCTCTAGGGTATACAAATGTATACTGATATAAGAAGAAAGTCACTTCTGTTTTAAATATACTGATTTTGGCATTTAACAAGACACACAAAGAGAAAGACAACTGAGATTCTATTAACAAACGATGTCATTTCAGGTGACTCTTCTCTACTATGAAAATATCAAACTTGCATTTGGCAAGCAATAATAGAGAATTTTTCTAAAAAGAAAAAGGAATCCCTACCTTTACACTGCATTCCCTGGCGAAAAAGGCCTTTGAGCAGCCGCTTGCAGTACTGGCATATTGTGGGGCGAGTGTAAGAATGCACAGCAAATGTATGCGGAACTCTCACCCTACACATGACCATCTTCTCCATCCAGATTGGGCGTCCACTCCAGGAGGGAATTCTCTTACTTGGTTCTTGGTGAACATGTGCCTAAAATACAAGATATTTCTATAAGTATAACATCAATTATTTAAAAACCAAGTACTGGCTTCACGAGAGACATCTATCTGTTCAGTATTCTAGAGACAAGACAGGTCACAGCATCTTCCTTTGGCTTTGCAAAACCCTTAAATAAAAAGAAAAGTACAGGATTTGGGATTTTCAGGTCAATGTAAAAAATACATTCTTTGACATAACTTCCATCTCAACATGGACACTATAGTCTGAAACTAAAAAATTCCCAAAATTAAATACTGATAATGAAATTAATCATATAAAAATTTTTAAGCCTTAAATTCATTTTAAAGAACAAATACATGCAGTTTATCAATATTAAGGCAGACACTATAATCAATCAATAAAGATTTTTAAGCACCTACTTTTGCCAGGAACAGTGCTGAGCATTAGGCACTAAATTACAAATTTGCAGACACAGAGCCTATCCTCAAAGCGATTTGGTTAAAGTCAATATCTTGACTGAGGGTTGGGCTTTTTTTTTTCAGGTTTTGTTTGGGGGTGGGAGGGAGGTACCTATCAGTTTGAATGTCAATACTTCAAAGGATTTGTGATCTCATTGATATGGGTATTCTTTCTATCAAAAAGAATTGCAAACCATCTATTCCTTCTAATCCCCCATGATTTTTGTTTATGTTCTCCCACAGACCCTCCAGAGAAGAACCAACCAACGGGCTGAAGACCTTCCTCTGGGTCTTTTTATATTTTGTGGGTTTAATGCAGTGTATGTGAGCTGTCTATGTATCACCCCTAACTCTTACCATATGACCCACCCATGTCCTGTTCTGATCAGACATTTAAGTTTGAATGAGTTTAAATTTCAGGGGAAAATACAGGAAGCTTTAGTTAAAAACTTCCTTTGTGCCTTGAAATAACAGGTTTTTTTCTAGCTGGTTATATCAGTGAATGATCAACCTGGATCTAGCCTAAGCCTCGTTCAGTATACCTCCCTATTCACTCTAACTACTAAGTAGTGCTCTAAATGTTCATCACTGTCAGAAGCCTTGCAATTTCACCTCTCTCTACCATAATGCATGCAAAGAAATGTTTTGGCAGCTGAGAGAGTCTTAACCATTTTGATACTGCCATGCTCCAATAGTCTGAGTAAAAGATGAGAAAAAGAAGTGAGTTCATGAGAAGAAAAAGGGATGACAAGGAAAGGAATGAGAGAAAGATGACCAAGGACATGGGAGAGTGGAGAGTAAGAAGTAGGAGATGGAAAAAGAAATAAAGAGTAGGGACCAGATAACTGTCAGGGCACAAAGAATATGTGAAAAGAGAGGGCTTACAAGACATTGGCACTTAATAAATGTTAATTAATTGATGGAGCTACAGCTTGTGTTAGAACAGAATGCAAACTCTATATAACGAAGTGTGACTAGAAAAAAGCCTCAGAAAAACAACTGGATTTAACAGAAAAATTCCACCTTCCTCTGCTCAAGGTACAAGTCCTCTGGTTTTGGGTTCACGCTTCCCTCCCCAGAATGTGCCCCAAACAACTCAACATCCTGCATCAAAGAGCAAGGCTGAAGAGCCAGCAGCACTGGAAGACAAATGTTTTACCGAAAGGGCTTTGCTCATGTATATCCTGGAGCCTGATCAGCCCAGTGTCTGCCTCACTAGCTTTAATTCTGTATAACCCCACATCTCTTAGTATTACCTTTTTCTCAGGTTTACATCAAGTGACCACAAAGCAGGAAACAAGGCTGAAAATAGATAGCTAAATTCACTCCAACTCTAAATTATTTAAAATAAAAGATACTCTTTAAAGAAGAAAACAGCATGTTTACTCATGAAACTTGTAATTTATTTCAATGACTATTTTAAGTGGTTTTCAAATCAAATCATCTTAGGAAAGTTGTGTATTATTTTTAAGTATCAGACTCTTTAATTGAAATTATCAGAACTCCCTTCCAAAACCAAATACTCATATATTCTGAATCATATCCTGACTCAGTTTAAGTCTACATTATAGGTTAGCTATTCATCAAACATTTATAAACATATAATCAACTTTCAATTATCTACAAGAAAAAAAGAGAAGCATATAAAATATAAAAGTACAGACAATCTCTAACTCAGAAATACTTTGACTTCAGAATGCAGGTAAAATACATTCAGTTAGGGAAGCATATATAACTATAATGCCTAAAACAATCCAACCTGATCCTCTCCTGATTTGGCTCCTTGTGTTTTCTCCTAAGTGCATTCAAAAAAGTAAACCTAAATCAGTGGTTTTTAACCTTTCTGGTGTCATGGACCCCTTTCACAGTCTGGTGAAGTCTGTGGACCCCTTTGGCAGAATAATGTTTTTTAAAAAATTGAAGGAAATGCTACATTTCAATTAGAGGTTAGTGAAAATAAAGACGTATTTTTTCCCTTATCCAAATCATGGACTGCTCCCCAAACCCTAGACACAGACAGAATAATAAACTGTTTGGGGTAGGAAGAGATCTTAAAAAATGTCTATTCCGTGTCTCCCTTACTTCCAGCACCAAGTTCCACGTGCTTTTCCACTAATTCCACTCCTCCAATTCACATTCACATTCAGTGAACACTTATTCACAGACCCTCATAATCTCGAGTTCAAAAAGAGATTAAAGATCCCTAGCAGCACTTACACACAGGCAAGAAAGAATGAAGAACTTGGGGTCAGGAAGAACTGGGTTTGAACCTAGGCTTTTAACATTTTCTACTAGTGTGACCATGAGAAAATCATTTAATTTCTGAGTCTCATCTATAATATAATTATCTGTTGCAATCCTTTCAGGATTGCTGAGAGGCTGAAATGAGGCCTTTGATAATTTTAAAATACCTTATAAGTATTAGCTTATAATAATAGCTACTATTATTATTATAAAAAAAATCTCTTTCACAAAATAAATAAAAGAGGTCACACAGTCCCCAATGAAATAAGGGAGAATGAACTACCACATATGACAGGTTTGTCAGAGTTCTAATTGTTAAGAAGTTTTTCCAATCTAACTCAACAAGTATTTATTAAATGTGTACTACAGGGGCAGCTAGGTGGCACAGTGGATAGCACACCGGCCCTGGCTTCAAGGACCTGAGTTCAAATCTGACCTCAGACACAACACTCACTAGCTGTGTGACTCTGGGCAAATCACTTAACCCAAATGCCTCACCAAAAAAAAAGAAAAATTTGTACTACATACAAGATACTGCAATAGGCGTGGGAATACATAGACAAAAACAGTCCTTGAATTCAAGGAGTTTACATTCTATTGAATGATGCAACATTTTAACATGTAAGGACATATGTGATTATTTGACAAGGATGAGCACCTAGGGGGATCATAAAAGGCTGCTTAGAGGGCATAGTGGGCCCTGAGGCAGAGAAGAGGAAGGAGCAGATTCCATGTATGGCAGATGGTCCAGGCAAAAGTGTAGAGGCAAGAAATACCATGCTGAGACTGAAGAATAAGGAGGCCAGTTTGACTGGCAAAGAGATTTGTATAAAGACAGGATGTGTAATCATCATGGAAATGTTAGCTGACACCCGGCTGGAAAAGGCTTTCAATGACTCCCATGCTTCCATTTGATCCCAGAAGCAACAGGAAGTCATGGAAAGATTTTGAGCGGGATAGTTGCCTAGTCAGGTTTCTGCTTTAGAAGACTGGTCCAACAGTCTGTGGAGGTCAGACCAGAGAAACAATATGGAAGATAAGAGTCCAATGAGAAGGCTGTCACAACAGTACAGGCGAGAACTAAACTAGGGTGTTGGTTATGTGAGTAGAGAGAAGAGAGAAGTACAAGACATGTTGCTGACATAGAATTAATAAGACTTTGTAATTGACTGACATGGTGGAATGAAGGAGAATGAAGAGTTGTGTTTGATACTCAAGTTATGAACCTGAATTAGCAAAAGGATGGTGGTGCCTAACAGAAAAAGGGAAGTTTGGAGGAAAGTGTTTAAGGTAGAAGATAATGTTTTGGACAGAATGAATTGGATTAGCAATGCCACTGTCTCTGTAAGTCATCTATCCTCAAAAGGAAAAAAGAAGTTCAGAAGAGGTATAGATTTGGGGAAGAAGGATGCTGAGTTCCGTTTTTGACTTGGTTACAGCAGTTTCAAATAGGTGTGAAAGTCAGAAGCTAGACTCCAATAGAGACCTACTAATTAAATCTGAGGTTTTTAACCTAAGGCCTGTCAATGTCTTTATTTTGAAAATATTTTGTTAACTACTTCAATATAATCATTTCTTTTGTAATCCTATGTATTTTACTTTATACATTTAAGAATACCATGAAAAGGAATCCTTAGGCTTCACCAGACTGCCAAAGGGATTAATCACAAAAAAAAACTTTAAGAACCTTTATATTAAATGACAGTACAATCAGATGGATTAAAAATTGGTTAAATGGCTAGACTAATGAAGTAAATAATGGTTTAATATCATCACAGCAGGAGGTCTCCAGTGGAATATCCCAAGGATCTATGCTTGACCTTGTGCTGTTTAACATTTTTTCATCAATGACTTGGATAAAGGTACAGATAGCATGTTCACCAAATATGCAGATGACATAAAGCTGGGAAGGACAGCTGACACTTTGAGGGAAAAGGATCTTGACAGTAGAGAGCACTGGGCTGAATCTAGTGACATTCAACACAAATAAATGTAAAGTCTTGCCCCAGAAATAAAATCTTAACCTCACAAGAATAAGATAGAGAGGATGCAGTTAACAATGGTTGTTCTGAAAATACATATGGGAGGGTTTTGATGGACTGCAAGCTCAAGATGAGTCAGTGGTGTAAAGCAGTAGCCCAAAAAAGCTAATACAATCTCGGGCTACATAAAGACAGAAAGAGATTCCAGGAATTAGAAGATGATAGTCTCACTGTACTCCATCCTTGTCAGTCCTTATCTGGAGTATTCTGTTCAGTTCTGAACACACTGTGAGGAAGACACTGATAAGGTGGAGAATGTTCACAGGAGGGCCACCAGGATAGTGCAGTGAAGTTCAATGGGAGGAAATGAGAATTAAGTCTGCAAAAGAGAAGATTCAGAGAAGGAGGAAGAGAGGGCTTTCATGTGGAAGAGGTTAGATTTGTTCCGTTTGTCCCAGACGGCACAAGCAGGAGCAAATGGGGAGCTGCAAAGAGCCCAGGGCTTGGGGGGGGGGTCAAGAAAAATTTCCTAACAATGAGCACTGTTCAAAAATGGAAAGTGGTGGGTTTCTTCTCCTTGGAAGTGCTCAAGCAGAGGTTGGATGGCCACCTGTCGGGTGTATAATAAGGAGGATTCCTTCACTTGATGACCTGGATTAGTTGGACACTGTGATCCCATACAATTCTCAAATTCTGTGTGATCCTACAACTGCAAAAGGAGGGCACTGGACCAGGTGGTCTTCTCTCTCTAAATCTAGGACCTTGGGATTCAAACCTCTGAAACTCCTCAGTTCTAACTTTCCATCTCTTCTAAAACCTCACTCCTTCTGAATCTATCCTTAATGTCATATATATAGGGGGTGTGTGTGTGTGTGTGTGAGAGAGAGACAGATCATATTGAAACTCAAGATATTAACACCCACCTCTTCATTGGGAGACACTGTACATTCTGTTTGAATGGGTCTTGGAACAGAGAGGCCAGGTCCTGGCAGAGATACATTGGACAAACGTCTCTTTCTTATTCCACTACAATTATTTGGAATCTTGAAGGCACATCGTTTATGGTAGTTTAATCCACAGCCTAAACATTACATAAAATATAAAAGAAAAATAACTCAGTTATAAATTATTACAGTATGCAAAAATAATACGTCTGTCCACTCACACAGCTACCATCTTAGTTCAGGCCCTAATAATCGTCTCTGGTTATTTCAAGAGCCTCCTAATAGGTCTTCCTGCTTCAAGTTTCTCACCATTTCAGTCTATCCTATACACTGCTGCCAAATCTGATCATGTATGGGGCAGCTAGGTGGCGCAGTAGATAGAGCACCGGCCCTGGATTCAGGAGGACCCGAGTTCAAATCTGGCCTCAGACACATAACACTTACTAGCGGTGTGACTGTGGGCAAGTCACTTAACCCCCATTGCCCAACAAAAAAAAAAAAACAAAACAAAAAACCAAACAAATCTGATCATGTAATTCCCTTACTCAATCACTCCAAGTGCCTTCCTATTGCCACTGGGATAGAATCTAAACTCCTCTGTACAGCTTTTACAAAGCCCTACACAACTCGGCCCCAACCTACCTTTCTAGCCTCACTAGACATGACTCTTTTCCTATACTCTAGATCTAGCCACATTGACCGTCTTTCTGTTCCTTACACAGGATGCTCCCTTCTCCCAGTTTTGTGCCTCTTCTTGTCTACCCCCTCTTTTAAGATGCAGCTCAATCACATTCTTAGGCATGAAGCTTTTCTCAGTACCCTCACTTCTAACTGAACTCTCCCTCTAAAACTACCTGGTATTTAACTGCTCTAGATATATCTGTATTTGTTAATTTTATACCTGTCCTAAATCTACTGATGTATTTTGCTGTCTTTTCCATCACAGAACATAAGTTCTTTGTGAACAGAGGTTGTTTCATTATTTGTCCTCGTATTCCCAATCTTAACGATGCCTGGTACATAGTAGGGACTGAACACTTTTTGACTGAATGACTGCTTGTTTCCAACAGTGCAAACTTCCCAAAGAACCCAGATGACAGCTTATGTGGAGACCCACAAATTCAAGGATTTAAAAAACAAGAACATCATGGGCTACAATAGACGAATGGGAACCAGTAACTAGTAACATTAGCTTAAATGGATATTCCCTCTGGTAAAGGAGATAACATTTGAAGAGCTTTGCAAACCAAAAGCACTATATAAATAGCCAACTGTTGTTGTTACTCAACAAGCATCTATAGACTTTTCTTTCACAGAACTGACCAGCAGCTAAACTATTATATCGCCACCAGATCCCTTTAAAAACTACCCACTTGTAGGTAAATACAGCTTTTGACAAGTAGGAAGAATTCAAATTTCTACACCTGGGAACCATAATCTCAAATAACACTCTGTGGAGAGCATATTTTTAAGTATTCAAAAAAGTTAGAAGGCATAAGACGTAGGATAAAAGCAATGTTTGGGCTTGTTTCCTTCCTGAATCCCCCTAAAGAACTGGAGGAGGCACAAAAGGAGATACTGTCCCTAAAGTTGCCAAATGACTCAATATGGATGCTAGAACCTCAAAATGAAGTAGGAAACCCTACCTACCATGCTCATCGTATTTTGCTTTATTCCTAAGATGGAGGGATCAATAGTTTGACTGAAGTATTAATGTGGGGAATCTCGATTGATTTGAGATTTTCTATGCCTTCTGCTCATTTACAATGATAAGCAATCTCCATTTTGCCATTTATAGTTTAGGCAAGCTATAAAGGACCTATCCTACAATTGCAACAGAGTATCAGTACAAAGGACTCTCCACATCTTCTGAACTCTCTACATCCCACGTCCTCAGGTGAAGAAAGGACAAAAATCTGTCTTTCCCTGCAGTATTTCCATAAAAACTGGATCAGGAAAGAGCTAGCATAATCTGAAATGGAGAAATGATGGAAACTTCACAGTTAAGTATAGGAGGAAAGCAAAGACACCCTCTCTTTGCATTATTATTTGACACAGTACTAGAAATTCTAGCTATAATAATAAAACTAAAGAAGAACAAACAGTATAGACATTGGTAAAAATGAAACTATCCCTATTTGCCTATAAAATAATTTACTTAGGATACCTGAATCAGAAAATAAGTTTACTGAAAAGATTAATAACTTCAGAGAAGTAGCACAATACAAAACACTCTCAAAAATCATCAGAAATATTCAGTATTGAAAAACAATTAGAAAACAGCTGACAATGAAATTTCATTCATAAGAATAATAAAATGCAGAAAGTCTTTGAGAATTAGTTTACCAACACATGTGAGGGACTTCTATTAAAAAGCATTCTATGTAAAGAAAGACTTAAATAATTAGGAGAGTCATTTATTGTTCTCTATTTTATTTTCTCTATTTTCTTATAGCCCTCAAAACACGTGAGGACTTAAAAATATAGCTTTGTCTTGCTCTAGAAGCTTAAGATAATTGGTTTCATTGCTTACTATTTTCTTGTTAAAATGTTCATTTACATTTCTTGTTTCTTTACTTGGAAATGTTTGAATATCAATCACCCTGCTCAGTTCTGGTTTCTTTTTGAAGTAATAACTCAAATTCCTTCCCTTCAGATAAAAACTCATCTTTTTATATTAATGATTAGACTTGGCTTTGCAAGACATGTTATTCTAGGCTATATGCCAATTTCCCTTTACTTTCTAGAATACCATATTCCAACACCTTCTTTCATGTCCTATAGACAAGAAATAATCTTGAGGAATTCAATTTTTTTTTCCTTCGTAGATGAATTTTTTTCTCTGTAGGGCCTAAAATACCTACTGTTTGATATGGAAGTTCAGAAGTGTGAACACTACAATTCTTGGCAAAATAAACTTAGGTTCTCTCTCTACAATCTATGTACTTTGTCCTATAATTTCCAATAATTCAAGACAATTTTCTTTTAATATTTACTGAAGTGTGAGATTCAAGCTTTTTGATTCATTGTGGTTTTCTTGGGAGGAGAAGTCTATAAATCTTAAATTATCTCTGTACATCTCATCTTCAGGTTCAGTCTCTTTGGCTCTTACCAAACTCATGTTCTGTTTGTCTTTTAATTCCTTTTTCATCAAATTTTATTTTACTTCTATATTTTTGAGTTTCAAATCTGCTATTCTATTTTGCTGAGGCTCTATTGTTTAGAAGATATTTACATCATGTTCTAAATTATCCTCTCTCATTTGTATCTTTTATTTGTTTCTTTGAGACCTTTGATTCCTACCTTATTTATCCTTTTATTTTTCTAGTTTCTAAAGTCAAGTCAGCAAGCATTTATGAATGACCTACTATGTTCCAGGCACTTTGCTAAGCACAGGGGAAATAAAGCCAAAAAATAGGATCCACTTCTCAAGGAGTTCAGCCTAATGAGGAAAACAGCATGGAAACCAAGTATATACAAATAAGAGACAGAGAGAAAGAAAGACAGAGTCCCAGGCATGAGAAGAAAGTCATGCTCAAGGAACAGTAAGCAGACCAGCATCACTGCATAACTAGATAGCAGAGTACATGGGAGGGATTAAAGTATAAGATGACCAGAAAGACAGGAAAGGTGCAAGGTTATAAACAGCTGGGTTTATATTTCATCCTAAAGGTAATAAGACATCCAGTGGCATTTAATGAATAGGGAGATGAAAGAGAGGGAGGGGGAGGAGGGATTGTGACACGGTCTGACCTGCACTTTAGGAAGATCAATTTGTCAGCTGAGCAGAGAATGGACTGGAATCAGAAAAAACTTGTGGCACGGAGATGAAGCAGCAAGGCTATTGTAATAGTCCAAGTGTGAGGTGACAAAGACCTGTACCAGTGTGGCAGCAGTGTCAGAAGAAGGTGTATACAAGAAATATTTTTGAAGGCAGAAATGACAGGGGTCGGCAGCTGACCGGATGAGGGGATTAGGGGGAAAAAATCAAAGGATGTGAGTCTGTGACTGGAAGGATGTAGTGATACCTTTGACATAATAGAGAGAGAAAAGGTTTTAGAGGGAAAGATAATGAGTTCCATTTTGGATATGTTAAGTTTAAGATGTCTACTGAAAGTCCAGTCTGAGATGTCTAATAAGGAGCTGGAGATGAGACTGTTGTTCAAGAAAGAGATTAGGGCTGGACATATAAATCTGAGAATCATTTGCACAGAGATAACTGGAAGCCAATGAAATCGCCAAGTGAAATAGTATAAAAGGAAAAGAGAAGGCCCAAGACAGAAACTTAAGAGAAACCCACAGTTAATGAGCCAAGACTTGAATGAAGATCCTGCAAAGATGACAGGTGATAGTTAAGAGGAAAAACAGGAGAGAGCAGTGCCAGGAAAACCTAGAGAGAAGAGAGTATCAAGGCAAAGAGAGTGATCAACAACATCAAAGAAAAACAAATAAGCAAAAAAAAAAGAGTTTTTAACTGTCCAAGGCTGCAGTAAGGCCAAGCAGGATGAAAACTGAAAAAAGACCATTAGATTTGTCAATTAAAAGACCACACTAATTTTCAAGAGTAGTTTCACTTGAATGATGAGGTTGGAAATCAGATTATAGAGTTAAGAAGAAAGTGAAAGGAAAGGAAGTGGAGATACTGACTGTGGATGCCCTTCTGAACCATCTGCAATTTCTTGCTTTTGTTTCATTATTTCTGAGGGTCATATGAAATTTACTGAATTGCCTTCTCTTTCATCAAAGATTTAAAAGTATCTATTCTTCACTGCACAGTATTTATTCATTCTCTAGACTGCTCATTTTTTCTTCTTCATGCATTTCAATCTGGTTAAGCTCAGTTTGGACTGGATTTATACACTAACTTCTTTCTTGTTTCGTTTGCCATCTTTGCCTTTTCTTCTATCCCATTAGCACCACTGCTCCCTCATCCACTGCTACCTATTTTATCTTATACAGATATGTAAGACAAAGTGAATTCAGTGATCTCTCAATATCAAGAGGGGAATGAGGATTCTATCTGGATTGCTATCCCATGGGAACACTGAGGGAAGATAATCTCAGCTGGGTTTATGCCCTACCCCTCCCTTTTCATTTGGTATAGAACTCCTTGCCTTACTAACCAGCTTTATATATT